TTCCTACATAGGTGGGACTCGAGGGAGAAGAGGGGAACTAAGATGACCATCTGAAGTGCCTCAGTTCCCCAAGATGCATCCCTGTGATGGTCCTGGGCAAACCTAGGGGGTTGGTGACCCTAAGAAGAGTGCACCTAGGAAAAGAAGAAAGAGGTTGAGAGGGACAGAAGAGAAGATAGACACAGAAACCAGGGGGAGGAAGGAAGTGAGCGTGCAGGGTGATTTTTCGGAAGGGGCAGTTTCAGATGATGGTGGGTGCAGAGGACCAGAGAAGGTGAAAGTGGGCACCACTTGGAGAAGTTTGGAGACCAGGTGGGAGAGACTTTGGTTGATGGTACAAGAAAGCAGCAGGGATGCAGATCTGGGTATGTTTTAGACAGCAAGGAGGAAACCAGTGGAAAGCGAGAGATGCTGGTGAAGAAGGGAGCCCTCCAGACTAAGCTGATGAGCTATGGGGAAACATGATGATATTTTGTGAAAATAATGAGTGGACACCCCACGCTGGGGCCCCCCTGCCAGTGCCCCTGTGCCCATTCATCACTCTGGTGACCAGGTCTCTGGACGTCCTGCGGTGGCTACTGTTCCCTACCCCGGGGGCTCCCACGTTCGCTCTACAACACTAAAGCTCCTCCTCCGATAACCAGCTTGGCTGACACACCACAATGGTTAATTTTATGTGTCAAGTTGACTGGGCTCAGGGATGCCCACACAGCTGGTAAAATGGGATTCTTGGATGTGTCTGTGAAGGTGTTTCTGGGAAACATACATCCATACATCCTACTCTTGCAGTTCTTCCTGGAGAACTCGGATAGAACCACCATACTGGGAGTGTCTCTGTTTCTGGTGTCAGGAGATGATCAACCTCAAGGTCATTTTTGTGGTCTTGGGCTAACCCACCATATATTTCTTTCTGCCACGTGGCTCTGTGAATGGGCAAAATGGCCTGCTTATCAAGAGAGTCCTTGTCACGATGAAGACTTAGTGAAACAAGCCAGTCGCAAGAAGTCACACAGTGTATGGTTCCACTTAGGTGAGGCGAGATCTAGGTCAGTTCAAGCTGCTGTAACCACAGTTTAGAAAAAAAGAGGGTCCCTGTCCAAATGAACTAAATGTTTATAATTCTGCCAAATTGCCCAGAGCATGGAGTTATTGTCCCCAACCTCCAGCAGGCTCTGGGTCCTTGCCCCCAATTCCCCAGCTGAGCTTGTCCCTCCGCTGGAAAGAACGACCACTTGCCACCAGCTGGGCCCTGCCTGATGCAGTCACCGACAGGCCCAAGGAGGAGAGAGGGAACTCAAGGGAGTTCTCAGTTTCCCATCAGGAGTTCTTACAGACAGCATGCAGACAAGGAGTCCCTTTGTGTGTGCACACAGGCGTGTGTGTGTGTGTGTGTGTGTGACTGTGTGCATAGAGATGAAAAGATACAGAGAAACCCTAGTCGGCCAGGCACCAAAATGCTAACACTGATGGTTCCCGAGTAGCAGAGTGAAGTAATTTGCTGTCTGAATCTTTTACTAAGAGCATATGAATCTTATTATTTTTTAACCTTTAAAATAAACATTTTTAAGGGGGCCTTGGTGGATTAGTGGGTTAAACAGCTGACTCTTGGTTTCAGCTCATCACAGGCTCCTGGGGCCCTGGAACCAAGCCCCGTGTAGGGCTCCACGCTCAGCTGGGGGTCCGCTTGATATTCTGTCTCCCTCTGTGCCCCCCCCACTCATGCACGCACATGCTCACTCTCCCTCCCAAATTATTAAAAAAATAAACTTTATAAACCTGAATTATAAATGTGCCAAACATGTAGAGAAATACAGAATATGTGTCCACCAAATATTTGCTTCTGATCCTTTTACAAAAAAAGGATATTAAATGATTACAGGTAAAGTCAGAGCCCTTCCCATCTTCCTGGTCTTCCGCTCCAGGGGAAATTGATGTATGCTGTTATATTTTCCCATGTGCCTGCACCCCCCCTAAGAAAGAACATACGTATTTTTATATTTACAAGTTACTATATATTAATCGCACCATTAATTATAACAAATTCATTGGTATTTAAGGAGATGTCGTTATAATCAATAGGATCATGAAGCATGAACGGAAGTTAATTCCGTAGGATGTATAATTTGGCTTGTGGCTTTTTTTTTTTTTTAAGATTTTATTTATTTATTTGACAGAGAGAGACCTAGTGAGAGAGGGAACACAAGCAGGAACGGGGGAGAGGGAGAAGCAGGCTTCCTGAGGAGCAGGGAGCCTGATGCAGGGATTGATCCCAGGACCCTGAGATCATGACCTGAGGTGCAGGCAGCCGCTTAACGACCGAGCCACCCAGGCGCCCCTGGCCCGTTGCTTTTTACCTCATGATACTTTAGCAGTTTGCTCCTCTTGTCACACGCAGATCTGGCTCACGTGCTATAACTGCTCTATATTACTGGTGATAGTAATACAGTCATAACTCATGTATCCCTCCTCCTGTTGATGGATATGATGTCCTTCCCAATTTCTGACTTCACAAACAGTGCTGCAGTGAACGCTGAAATATGCATATCCTTGTGGGCACGTGCAGGGGTTCCCTGAGGGCGCCTGGGAGAGGGACGCCTGGTTTATGCCTTGTGAGCATCCTCAACTTGTCTGGTCCTTGGCAACTCCGCTCTCCAAAATGGTGAACCCAATTTGCTTCTCATCCGACGCATCTGGCAATACTCATTTCTCTACTTCCTCCCCGGACACTCTGAATATCCATGTCTTCATGTTTGAATGCCGGGAATATGTCAGGCATTCATTCCCCTGCCTTGGAGCCTTGGTCCTTGGTGTTCCCGCTGCCTGGAAGGCTCTGTCCAGGGCCATCCTCAATGTCTGATCTCTCACCAGTTCATAGGTCACCGTGGGGAGCCCTTCACCCACCAGCCTAGTCAAGGGTGCAGTTCCTCTTTGCACCCCCGCTCTACCTCGCTGTCCTTCTAGTTTTATTTTCCCAACTGCTGTATTTTTTTCATATTAATGGTGAATTAGAGACTGCTTTGAATTGTTAACACCTTTCTAATTGCAAATGGGTTTTGATTCCCTCCTCCTGAATCTGGCCTGGCCTTGGTAACTGATTTGCCCAAAGTCACAGAGCTAGTGAGTGACAGAGCTCAGATGGGAACGGCAGCTGACTGGCTTGGGAGCCCACATGCCTGGCCTCCAACCTGTGGGTCACTGCCCCCCAGCTGACCCTCTAGAGCGAGCTAGACAACTACCCAACCAGGACATAAAAAGCCTAGCACAGAGTTTTTGTCTAGCCTGAAACTTCTTTTCCAGAGAAAGCCGAAATTAAGTTCAGGGAACACCTAAAGACTGAACTACATCAGAAATAGAAGTCAGAAGGAGTAGCTCATTCTCTATGGGTGTCGAAAGCTCCTGATATATAGGGTGTCTGAGGGGACCCAGCAACTGAGCTCCCCCTAAGTGTCCTCACTGAGATGGTCTTTATAGCATTGGGGAGTTTGGGGAAGAGTTTCTTATTTGCCTTCATTTGTATGCCCACCATGCTATAAATTTGTGTCTCAAGTTCACGTGTGCAAGAAAGAACATTTTTTCTTTTCAAACCTCACACACAGCTCACATCAGCCACCTTTCCCAGAAATGGAAGTTGTTTGTGGGTGACTGAATGGGGCAGAAGGCTGAGACTGTAGGTTCGAAGGTTTTAAAGTTGCAAAAACGTGTCCCTACTCGAAGCAGGGGAGAGAGCTTTGGAGCCTGGGGGCAGGGGGCGACCAAGTGGGGTGTCTGGTCCACAAAAGGACGGAAGTGTCCGAAGCCAACAGAGAATTGCACTTAATTCATGTTCATTTAAAAAAGACTCTCCTAAATACGAATCTACATTTTGAAAACAAAAGAAAACAACAAAATAACAACAACAACAACAAAAAAAAAAAGTCGAATCTACATTTTGTCCAGATCTCTATGTATCCTAAAGTTCTGGGCTTCTGATGATACATATGAATGGGCTTTTATTTCAACCCTGACACGTTCTCCCTAGAACTCGATGTCTCCCTTACTGTGAGCTGTATGTGCAAAATTCTGCATTTTAATTTCATGAGTATATACCTTGCAGCACAAAACACACCAAACCTATTGTTCCCAGTCCAAAAAGCTTTGGTGCCATGTTGGGGCAGATATGGGAGAGTAGCTGGCCTCCTGGAAGTCGTAAGGGAAACTGGAAACAGGAAGCCTCCTAACAAGACATTCTAGATGACTTCCTCCAAGGGTTCAGCCAGGGATCTGTTTTTTATTAGCAATAACATCCAAATGGATTTCAGTGTTGAGCTGATGTGTGACCACGTTTCTCTGGCTTTTCATACAAAAAGCATCCTGTTCCTTCCAGTGACCACACTTACTTTTTGTCAGATTTTGTGGTTGTAGGGCGTGAAATACCCGAGAAGCCCGACACATGGGGCTAGCAGAGAATGGGTCCCCAGTATTTGGACTTTGTTTTGTCTTGTTTCTCATAGTCATTTCCTCAGCTAACTTGTTATCTTGACTCAGTAGCTGGAATAACCAGAGACAACTGTTCCCAAAGCACCAACTTACCCAAGAGAGAAAGACTGAGAGAGAGAGATGAGCAAAAGGAGGTTGGTTTGTTCTGGTGGTCCTACCTGAGACCATGAAGATTAAAATTGGTGGGTATTTCCATAGAAATTAATAAGTCATTTATCTTAGAGGTGGACACAATGCAACATCGGCGATTCAAAGAAATTCACCTAGCTCATAGGAAACCCAGACAAATCAAACTCCATCAAGGAACCCTATCTTAAAACGCATGTTCTGCTCCCAAGGTGTCTGAGTTTCTTCCCAGGTTAGTTTCAAGCCTATTACAGAAGATAACAGATACCATTTGACTCCTGTTTCCTTCTATCTCCATGTACAGGGTCAAGTTTGGGCTCATCTTTGACACCTGTTGGAGCAGGAGGTGAATGGATAAAGTCTCTTGGGCCAACCCCCCAGGCTCTGCCTCAACTCACATTTGTTGGCTTTCAGCTTCCTCTCATCAACGGGAATGAGGTCCAGGTAATCGAGGTAGTACTCGTAGCCGTCGTACGGGCTGGAGGCGTTGGTCTCGTTGGCCATGTCTGCGGCGCTGGCAGGCGGCGCATCCGAAGCGGGTCCAAGCCCTCGGAGGGACTGGCCAACTGATTTCCGTAAAGTCATCCAAGTGTGTCTGTGGGTCTCCGGGCTCAAGGCCTGACCACTTATCAGAACTGTTTGGCTGGGAGAAAGGCCAGGGGGCTGTGCCTGACATCTCAGCCCCCACGCAGAACTTTCCGCCCCGCCCTCCTTGATAAAAGTCCAAGACAAACAGAGCTGCGAGGCAGGAGTCCAGGGTTTGCAGCCGGGCCCGAGCGTGCCCCTCCGCGTAAGTACAGGAAAACGGGAACCTGGGCCCCTTGAAGGACAAGGTGCCGAGTAGGACTCTTTGCTTTAAGACTTTAAAAAGTAATCAGACCAAAATGAAAGGCTGGCGGTGCCCTTGACTTACATTAAGGCAGTTCTGGGCCCTGTTGAGCAACCTGCGAATCGCTGACTTAGACCGAATATCTAAGGGCAGAAATTGACTGATGTCAGCCCTGAACTTGTAACCTCTCTCGTGTACGCAGAGCCAACTAATTAAACCGAAAGAACCCTCTCGTCCCGACTGAGAACACCTCCCAGCTTTTATCTAAAGTCCCCAAGAACGAACCAGTCAGCGGCATTTGTTCCGGCGGAAGAGGCTGTTTGCCTGGACCAGACTCCCACGCGGATCCGGCTCTTAGGCAATAGGGCCGGAGGGTTCACCCAGCCCTTGGCTGACGACAGGGGCATTTGTGCAGGAAGAGCCTCTAAGTTATCCCTTCATTTTTCTAAGAGCCACGGATGCGATCGAGGGGAATATTCCAAATATTTGGAATGAGCAGGACTGAATGTGAGAGGAGCCTCTGAGAATGTGCAAGGAACCCCAAATTCCCAGAATGATGCAGCTTTTCCCTCCAAGACCCCAGCTGGTAGTGTTACTGTTCTACACTCCAGAGGAAAGCTGAGCCGTCCTAGCATGCGTGTCCCCATGTGCATTTGTCCAGGACTCACTGTATCCCCAGCCCGGTACTGAAGCTTTTGCCGGGACAACAGGTTTGATGTGTCTGACTTTGCAGGATGTGTTGAACAGAAAAATTCTTCTACCAGCTCTTCCTTAATTTGGGTTGTATTCATTTTTATACATTTCAGCCAGATTACGTTTCTCTGTCCAAGTCACTACATAATATTTTGCTTTTCTCATTCTGAACTTAGAAGTTTGGAAGGTTGGAGTTGGGGGGATTGGCAAGACCAGCAGGTGGAGGGGCACCTGGGTGGCTCAGTTGATTAAGTGTCTCCTTCAGCAGGGATCTTGATCCCGGGATCTGGAGTCGAGCCTCAAGTTGGCCTCCCTGCTCAGCGGGGAGCTTGCTTCTCCCTCTCCCTCTGACTGCAGCTCCCCCTGCTTGTGCTCTCTCCCAAATAAATAAATTTTTTAGAAAACAACAAAGATTAACAGGTGGACTGGATGTAGAGTGTGAGAGTAGCTGAGTCAGGTGGGAGTGCTTGCCTCTCTGTCTGCCCGTTCCTAAACCGTCCTCCATCTTGGCTCCTTCAAGTTTAAGTTCCCCTTGGCCAAAAACAATTTCTGGTCCTGCCAGGCCCCAGTGCCCTTCCCTCCTCTCTACTCCAATCACATGAACTTGTCATCACCACCACCCTTTAAAAATTATTTTAGGGATGCCTGCCTGACTCAGTCAGAGGAGCATGTGTCTCCTGATCTCAGGGACAGGAGTTCAAGCCCCATGTTGGGTGTAGAGATTACTTTAAAAAATAAAATCTTTAAAACATATTTTTAAATGGGGGAATAACTTACAATAAATTAAATGCCTAAATTTCACAGATACAGCTTGACAAATGTCACATACACACTCCACACACTTACACACAACCATCACTCACATCAAGATAGAGAACATTCCAGTGCCCGGGCAGGCTCTGTCATGCTCCTTCCTGCCTGATAACTCCCCCCTTCCCGCCACACACCAAGGTTCTGAGTTGTACCTTTACAGATCAGTTTTGCCCAATTTCAAACCTCAACTAAATCTAATCGCATAGCACCATATGTATCCTTTTGTGTCGGGTCCTTTTAGTCACCATATTGCTACAGGTAGTGGTCTTTGTCCTTTTATTTTCCATGTGGTATTCTGCCATGTGAATATTCCATAACGTATCTCTCCATTTTTCTATTGATGAACATTTGCTTTGTTTTCTGGGTTTGGCTATTATGAGTAAGTGGACATAGACACTAATTTCTCCTAAGTATGTATCAGAAGTATAACTAATAGATAGCTTTACTAGGTACAGAGCTAAATAGTCCTCAAAAGCCTCAGCTTACCAATTTACACGCCCACAAAATAATATACATGTATGGCATATTGCAAGAATGGTTACCGTTCTTTTCCTTGTATACACAGTGACTTTGTATCTCCCCCTCAAAGCTAAAAGTACGTTTCTCCATCCTTCAGATGTGGGTTGACCTTGTGACTTGTTTTGGCTTTGATTTCTACAACTGTTAAGAAGCTGTATAAGAAATTCCAGGCTAGGTGGCTCGGTTGGTTAAGCATCCGACTCTTGATCTAGCTCAGGTCTTGATCTCAGGGTCATGAGTTCAAGCCCTGCTTTGGGCCCCACAAGAAGAAGAAGAAGGAGGAGGAGGAGGAGATGGAGGAGGAGGAGGAGGAGGAGGAGGAGCAGGAGGGAGTGGGGGAGGGGGAGGGGGAGGGGGAGGGGGAGGCAGACCCATGATCAGCTGCTAACTGTAGACCCATGAGTGAGTATAGCAAAACCCAACGACCACTTGGCTGAGCTAATTTTCAGAATTGTGAGCTTTGACCTGGAAAAGATTTGTCATCCACAGTGTTCAGAATTCCATTAAAAAAAAAAAAACACTGGAATTACAAAGATACAGGAATTCCATAAAAAAACAAACAAACAAACAAAACACAACAACACTGGAATTACAAAGACACAGGAAAACTGGGACTTCTGGTTTGGAGGGAAGATGAACTTAAAGCAACTATTATAAATATGTCCATCAAAGACCTGAACAGAAAACAAATAGGCAAGTCAGGTACCGTAAGAAAACACTTAAAAATTATAGACCCAATAAAGAATTTTTATATAGAATCTATAACTCAGTAATGAAAAGAGAATCCCAATTTAAAAGATGGCAATAGACTCAGACACTTCACAAAGGAAGATACGGAAATAGCTAATACACACATTAAAAAATGCTTAACATCATTAGTCATCAGGGAAATGCAAATAAAACCAAGAGGTACCTCTCTATATAACAGATTGTGTAAAATTAAAAATACTGACAGTGTTGGGGTTCCTGGGTGGCTTTGTTGGTTGGGTGCTAGACTCTTGCTTTCGGCTCAGGTCATGATCTCAGGGTCATGGGATTGAGCCCATGGGATCAGGCTCTGTGTTCAGTGAGGACTCTGCTTGAAGTTCTCTCCCTCTGCCCATCTCCTCCTCAAATAAATAAATGAATCTTTAAAAAAATACTGACAGTGCTAAATGTTGGTGAGTAAATAGAACAACTGGAAATCTCAAGCACTGCTCATGGGAATGCAAAATGGTATGACTTTGAAGGAAAGAAGCCAAGCACATACAACCTCATACAGTACTATCCCATATGTGTGATGCTGGAAAGGGCAAAACTAGCAAAAAACATCATTTTTGTAACTGGTTGCCTCTGGGAGTTGCTGTTGGGGAGACACTGGGGAGAGACAAAAAGGAACGTTCTGGGTGTGATGGAAATGTTTTCTATTTAAACACAGATGTGAATTACATAGGTATATACATTTTCAAAACTCATCAATTTGTACACTTAAGATTGGTACTTTCCAGGGGCTCCTGGGTGGCTCAGTCATTTAAGCATCAGACTCAGGGGTTCAGCTCAAATCCTGATCTCAGGGTTGTGGGATGGAGCCCCGCATGGCATGGAGCCTGTTTAAGAGTCTCTCTCTCCTTCTCTTTCTGTCCCTCCTCCGAAGCTCACTCTCTCTTCCTCTCTCTCTCCCTCTCTAAAATTAAAAAAAAAAAAAAAAAGCAAAACAAACAAAAATATTTGTGTTTTTCACTGTAGGTAAATTTTACCTGATCTGAAAACCAAATAAATGCTGTTTTAAAAAGAACCATTTCCCAAACCAAAACCAAACCCAAACAGCTTAAGTCAATGACCTCTTTCTAAAGAATTATGTCTGCAAATGATCAGTATTTACACTTGGATTTTGGGGAGCTCTTCATGAGTACAATCTGTCCATAGGCTGTGGCAGAGTCAGCTCAAAAGCACCTCACACGCTCAGATGAGCCAACCTGTTGCATGGTCTGAAACCTAGTCTCCTCCCTATGTCCACCTCCTGGGAAGTGAGGCTGGGACAAGGCTTCCAGAAGATTATAGACTTTCTTAAAGCTCGTCAAATTTGTGTAAGTAAATCTATGGATTGAAAATAGGAGGCTGGTTGGGGCTTAGGGCAGGATTTTCACATCTTTGTGTAGCCTTTTTAAAATCAAGGAATTGTGGATTGATTTACCTTTTTCTTTTCTTTCTTTGCTTCTGTATTATTTATTTCCTTCTGTCAGTGTTCTCTATTAGAAACAGAGCCAATGTATTGAAGGAGCCAATCTATTGAAATAAATCTCCTTAGGAGAGAGAGAGAGATAGATCCCATATAGAGAGATTCCATATAGATAGATTCCAATAATATCAATCATCGGTGTAAGCTAAGACCTAGAAAAGCCAGTGGTATCATTCAGAAAGGCATGAGAGCCTGTGAGCTGATGATACAGATTTCAGACTAAGACTGAAGGCCTGAGCCACACAGAGGATCTGTGTCCCAGGTCATCACTTGGATTGGGAACAAATTCAAGCTTTTCATTCTACTCAGGCCCTCAGTGGATTGAAAGCGTCCATCTACATAGGGGAGGGTCATCTGCTTTACTCAGTCCACTGATTCCAATGCTAACCTCCTCTGGAAACACACAGACACACCCAGAAATAGTGTTTAACCAGATATCTAGGCATCCTGTGATCAAGTCAACACATAAAATTTACCTTTGCACCTCTGTCTTCCTTCTTTCTTTCCTTCTGCCCTCCCTCTGTACCCCCTCCCACCTTCCCTCCCTCTCTCCCTTCCTTCCTTCCTTCGGTCTCCCTCCCTCCCTCCCTTCCTTCCTCCTGTTGTCCCTGGATCCTTGACCAAGCCTGCCCCAAAGATGTCACCAAAGGCTCTTGGTCTTGTAAGGAGAAAGAATTCAAGGTCAGACACAATACAGCAGAGGAATAACATGAGGCGAGCCGAGCAGGAAAGTTTATTAAAACGAAAGTATACTCTAGACTTGTGAGAACAGGTGAGCTCCAGAGAGAGAGCTTTGCGTCCTGGGTATGGGTTTCTATTGTTCAGGGACAGCTGTGAACAAGGAGGTATAATGTTATCACTTGGGGTGGGATTTCTTGGAAGCTGGGTTTCCTGCCT